CGCAGGCCACTTCTCAGTGGGGAGGACAAATCTTTATCTCCTCAGAGCCCATGTCGTTTTAGGGTCATTTGGTGCCACCCTGCCCTGTTCTTCAGGGCGTGGATGACGCTGGTCCCTTCTGCAGGCTCCTTGTCCCTGCACAGGGGGTGGCAGCTCCGAAATAGCTGTGGCCTCTTGACTCAGCTCAGTCTTATCTTTGAGCCGTAGGGTAGGGGTTCCACCTGGACTGCCCCCAGGCCTTCACAGGCGCCCAGCCTTCACATGTGGCTTTATATAGGGCAGTGGTTCTCAACCTGTGGATCCAGACCCCTTTGGGGGTCAAGAGACCCTTTCACAGGGGTCGCCCGATTCATCGCAGTAGCAAAATGACAGTGATGAAGTAGTAATGAAAATAATTTTATGGTTGGGGGCTCACCACCACATGAAGAACTGTATGAAAGGGTCGCGGCATTAGGAAGTTTGAGAACCACTGATCTAGGGCAACCTGCCGGCAGTCATCAGTGGAAGGGAGTTGGCTACACCTCTCCGGTCCTGAGGCCAGCCTGTCTTCACCTGCAGAGTCTGCTTGATTCTGCAGCGCTGTCTGCCCTGTGAAGACGAAGGCCAAGTCTAGTTCCTTTCTCCAGAGCCCCAGTACCTGTTCTGTTGTGCAACCAGCGGCCATCTGACTGACTCGGACTCATGGTGAGCCCATGTATGTCAGAGCAGAGCTGGGCTTCACTCTGTGATCTCTCAGAAGCACACCACCAGGTCTTGCTCCTGCAGCACCTCGCGGTGGGTTTGAACTACCAGTCTTTCGGCTAGTAGCCAAGCACTTAACTGTGTGCAGCCACCCAGGGAGGCCAGAGTGGGTGCTCAGTGAATGTCTTGACTGAATAAACGAGTGAATGAAAGCTGGCTCCCTTGCTAATTTTCAGCAGGAAGTTTATGGGGTGTCTACCAAGAAGCCTGGTGTTGAGAGCCAACTCTAATTCATGGTGACAATGGGAAGCCCCATAGAATTTTTTCTCGGCGATCATCCCTACAGTAGCAGTTTGCCAGGCCTTTCTTCCGCAGAACTGCTGAATGTGCTCGAAGCAAGAGCCTCCGGGTTAGTTGCCGATGACAAAAGGCTAGTGCGGCCCAGCACATTTGTTGGTGTCTGCAACACCCCACAGCCTGGCGTGCAGGTTGAAAACACAAGCCTGGGTTTGAATCCCAGCGCTGCCACTTCCTAGCAGGATGCTGCAGACATTTTTCTGTGGTTCAGCACCTTCATCTGGAAAACAGGAGTCATAATAAACCAGGCAGGAGCCCTGGTGATGCCACCGGGTAAGTGCTGGGCTGCTACCTGCAAGATCCTCGGTTTGAAACCACCTGACCCTCCACTGGAGAAAGATGAGGCTTTCTAGTCCCAGAAAGAGTTCCAGTCTGAGAAGCCCAGAGGGGCAGTTCCCCCTCCTCTGTAGGGTCCCCACTCAATGGCAGTGGGTTTGAGAAGACAGCGGTTCCAGTGAGGCTGCTCTGAGGAATCAGGGACGGATGGGGTGAGAGTGACAAAGGACGCTTCCTGTGGAAGTGTGGCAACAGGACCCATGCCCACCCAGGAGAGCACCCTCCATCTCTACCCCTGCCCCCCAGGGTTTGCAGTGGAGTTAGCAGACAGCAAGCACCCACACAACAGCAGGGGAGTCAGAGAGCTGGTGGGTGTGGGCTGAAACATTCCCCAGGAAACTAGACAGGCTGGAGAATGGTCCTGGGGAGAAGTGAGGTACAGGGGGGGGGGACCGGAAGAGACCGAGGCTGCAGGAGGCACACCAGAGCACTGGGCTACAGAGAGGCCATGGGCAATCCTATATCATGGAAGGTCACTTCCTACATTGACTGGCAGCTCCTGGCAGTCGTTTTGGTAGGAATGGCTCCCTCCAGTCCTATCAGTTGGGAATGTGCTAGAAGAAAGGTTGACGGGCACTCCCTGAAGCCTCTTGTTTGGCTCAATGAGAGGTCTTGGGCCCTCCAGGTTCCCAGCTGAGCTCTGCAGCGCACGCACGCACGCACGCACGCACGCACGCACGCTGGCTAACCCCCTGGGAAATGAGTGAGACTCTCTCTGCTTTTGGCTGCCATCCTGTGGATTGGTTAGGAAAGCTCAACACCCACTCACACTTCACTCGCCCACGAGGGACGCACATCAACTGGCGTGAGGCAGGCCTTTGAGAAGTGATCAGAAGGTGGAGGCAGGGTCTGTGGAGAACCATCTTGTCCAGCTGCCCTGAGAGCTAAAACCCCTACTGCGACTGCAGGATGCAGACTGGCCCTTAATCACTCTTCAATCCAGGCTGTTTCCCAGAAACCACCAGGCCGACCCGCACGGCACACAGTAGGAGAGCACGCCAAAGGGTTTTCGTGGCTGCAAGCTTTTAGCAGCAGATCACCAGGCCTTTACTCTGAGGAGCCTGGCAGTGAGTTTGAACTGACAGCCTTTTGGTTAGCAGTCAATCTGTCAGCTGGCTGCACCTCTCCATGGTTCCTCCTGAGAACCCTGGCCCACTCCTATTCTCCTGCCTCGGCCAGGGGTTGCGTTCTCCCTCCCCCCCCACTGCCCCCCCTCCCGCCAGTCCATCCACGACCCAGTGAGTGCTCTGCTCCCAGTTCCTGCATGCCTTGCGTTTCCTTACCCAGCACGCCGCTCTCAGGCACCAGGAACTACTGGGTTTTGTCCGTGAGCTCCCTGAGGTCAGCGACCGGGTCTCATTCATCTTTGCATTCCTGGTTCCTGGCTTCATGCCCGCCATCAAGTTGGCATCGATGAATGTTTGTGGAATGAATGGAGGAGCTGGGCCAGCACCACCCACAGAAAAGAACCAGGGCAGAGGCGCCTCCACCCGCCCCCCGCCATTCACCCACCCCCCACATCTGGAAGGGCAGAGCTACCCAGACACCCCTGCCTCTACCACAAGCTCACCCGGCTGGGAGCCTGTCCAAGGTCAGCCTCTCGTCTCCGGCGTGGTTCAGACAAGGCAGGAACCTGCCTCCTTGTACCCTCCCCATCCCCTACTCTTCTTTCCATGAGAAGGGTCTTGAAGTCCCGGCTAAGAGTGTGGGTGTAAAAAAAAAAGAGTGTGGGTGTTCAGATCTTAGGCAGTCGGGTAATACTGAAGGGTGTGGAGCAACGGAGTCGGAGCATGCTCAGGGTGATTTCAGAGAGTGAAGATTTGGAAAACAAGACTGGGTGCCTCCCAGCCTCCTTCACAGCACCCCCGAGGCAGGAGGAAGGTGGGCTTCAGGCAGGCCAGTTGGAGGACAGAGGGTGCAGAGAGGAGCCAGAGCAGGTACAGTGACAAGGGCATCACGTCCCTGGGGAAGAGTCAGGCTTAAAGAAGGCCTTCTTTGTAACAGAAGGAGACGTGGTATCTAGCATCCTCAGGTGTGTCCTCGTCCCAAGGGTCCTTTGGTTCCTGAACTCCGGGATGAGGCAGTGCATGCTCCTTAGGTGTGATGCTAGCCAATGGGAATGCTGAAGGGGGTGAGCGAGGCCCACCCAGCCTGGAAGATCCATCCATGGCCACTACTGCCACAAGCAGAGGACTGTACCCCAGCTTTGCTTTGGAGTTGTGCTTCCAAGTCTGGCCTGCAGATGTCCCTCCCTCCATGCCAAGTGGCAGAGTGACTACTTAAGAATGCAGCAGCAGCTGCCCACCACCGGGCTAATGACAGGGACAAGGCTCGCCATGACCCCCCCCCACCCCGCCCCCCGGGCCTTCACTAGGTCTCCCTCAGACCACAGCCAGGCCGCTCTCTCAGCTGGACCCTCAGTTTCTAGCCTGGACCACTTCCCGTCTGTCCTGTAAGGCTTCATGGTCTGAAATCTAACTCTGACTGTGCCCCTCCCCTGCTCAGACTCCTTGTGTGGCTAGACTCAAGTTATAGGTTCCTTCGCTTGGCCTTCAAGGCCCCTTTTGCTTGGGCCCCAGCTCTCGGCTTTAGGTCCTGTCTGCCTGTCTCTCCGTGACAGTGACACGCCTGAGGCTCCAGGCCTGCCCCCTCTCCCCAGACAGCTGCTCTGACCATGGCTACTTGCTGACACCCCATCCACCTTCCAGCCCGGCACAGGTGGAGCTTCTGGTCCCGGCCACTGGATGAGCTCTCCCCAGCTCCGATCACCTTTCGTGCACTTGCCAGAAATCCCTCCTGACTGGAAGGGCCGCCCCAGCCCTTCTCTAGTCTGGGCACATCAGGGAACCAGAGGTAGTGAGCGAATGAGCCCCAACCCCGTGCACTCAGTCGACCAGTAAGTACTCCGTGAGCTCCTACTCTATGCACTGGGAGGCAGTGGGGAACAAGCCGGGCGTGGTGTCTTTTCAGTGGAGTGTGCTGTAGAAGCCACCAGAGCTCTGTCCATCCCACCACCCTCCTCACCCCTGGTGCTCCCTGGTGGGCTGTGCTCAGGGAATGCAGATCAGCAAAACACTGGCCTGGGCTCTGGGCTCTTGGGCAATTCATACAGAAGCAGCCCGTTGGGCCTTCCCTCAGCTCAGACCCTGTCAGAGACCACGCCTACTTGCAGGCTCCACCCCCTCCCACTGAGCCCCCAGCCCAAGGTCTCAGATGCTGTAGGGGAGGAGAGGGCAGCTTGGACTGAGGCACAGATGGACCCTATCTTCATTCTCTCCCCCCTCTGCCCTCAGACATGAGGAGGAAGAGGAGGAGGAGGAGGAAACACAGGCCCCGGGTAGGCATTCCACCCTGGTGCCCTGGGTCAATGGATCCCAGCACCCAAGACCTCTGCCAACCCGGCCACTGCCTAGCATTAACCCTTCAGTTGCAGGATGGTGAGGTAAGCCAGGGCTCCAGGGGAGGGCCAGGCACAGTTGGGGCAGGATGGGACATTCGTCAACTGTGACAGAAGTATTTTTGATACTTACATTAAATATTTTAGCAACCATCGGGTGTCTGCATCAGCTCCTTCCAGCGAGGCCCGGCCCTGAGACCAATCACAGTGCCCGTATGATCACATCAAATCCGCTTTAAAACCACATATTTTATTAATGCTCTTCATCAGCAATACAGGGCCATCTGTCCAAAGTCCCACACCCCAGCATCCCTACCATCACGCCCCACTCCATCTCCGTCCCTGGCATTGACAGATCAGGAGCCGACTCCACCCCCCTCATGTTGGCCCCCCAGGGATGAGCCTCCAAGAGGCTGGGCATGGCGGGGCTGGCTTCCAAACTTGAGCTCTGGGGCCAAGAGAAGACCAAGGCCTGGTTTCCTGGACCCCCTCCCCCCTCCCCATTGGGCACAGGGTGCTTCAGCAGGGTCAGAATCAGGGTGGGCAAGCCCCCATAGCTCCTCCATGGAGGCTCACTGAGCAGCAGCAAGGGCCCCACTCCAGTTATCTTCTGCCTCAGTCTCCCACATGACCCCTGCTGACCAGCATGACAGGATGACTGAGTGACCACTTTCCCAGGGGTGGAAGTCACCCCACGGGTGCTTACACTGGTGTGGAAGCCCATCTCGAGATGCACACACAGCAGATGAAGCTGGGAGGGCAGGTGACTATGTGCTTGCAGGACGTGGAAGGGATCAAGCCCTTAGCCCTCAGGTGTGGTGGCAGGATGGGCGAGGTCCTCCCCCCCCCTTGGCTCACCAACACACAGGGTGGTCTGCCGTAACTACTGGGCCATTGTGACCTTTGCTGACGCTACGGCACCGTGGGCATTAGAGGGAACGGCACACTGGCCTCGGGGCCCAGGCCAGCTGTGGTGCACTTGTTGTCCCCACTCACTCAGAATCCCAAGGTCCCAGAGCCCCGGAGCCCATGACAGCCCCCCAGTCAATGCATCAGATGAGGGGGGCAGTCTGACCATGACACACCTGTGTGCTGCTCTCCCCCATCCCCCAGGTCCCCCTCAAAGTTGAGTCTGACTTTCTTCTTGTGTCTCCTCCCCACCACTGCCCCCATCTGACCCTGACAGGGCTCCGTCTCCCGTTCTCAAATCCTAGCCCCCTCCACCACCCCCTTAGCCTCCCCGCTGGCCAGCTCCTCCTGACTCCTGCCTCAGTGGCAGGGGGTGGGGGGGTGTCCTGAACATTCACTTCACACCGTGGACCAGCTAACTCACAGGCAGCTCTGCAGGTCTCGCCCTGGGGCCTGGAATTGCCAAGAGGATGCCAGACCAGAATGGCAGAGCAGGTAGGATCTTGGAGCTTGTCGAGCTGACCCTGGGCAGAAATCCCCTTGCCAGGCATGTTTGGCAGATGGCAGCCCAGTCCCTGCTGGGATGCCTCCAGTGGTGGGCACTGGGCCATACTACCTCCCTGGGCAGCCGTTCCAACACCGAGCCATCAGTGCTGCACGTCCTTTACACAGGGCTGAAACTAGCCTCTTTGCTCTTCTCCTCAATGCCCAAGGGTCCAGCCTCTGCATGACCCTCTCCTCCCTCTCTGTGTTGAGACCATGCTCCGCCCACTCCTCGCTCTCCTACTCTCTGACACACACACACACACACACACACATCTCCTTCCCTTCTATATGGCAATGCAGTCACATGCCTCATTTCTCTGAGCTTCCCCTCTTCCTCTCCCTCCTTCCTACAAAGACCTGGGGGGGGCGGGAGGGGTGTGTGGAGACCCACAGGAAAGGTTGGAGGAATGCCAGGGCCAAAAGCCAGAAGAGTGTTTGACCGGGTTCTGAACTGGGCTGGGGCAGCTGCTTGGGCAGATGGACAGGGGACAGTTGACTCCCAGCTCCCAGAGAAGGGGCTGTACCACTTGACTGAGAGGCGAGTGGGTGGGCAGGCTAGCTATCCCCTCTTTCCCTCCACTGTGCACAATTCCACAGGGGGGGGCGAGGCCACACCCATCCTTTTCCATCCTCCCCAGGCTCTGATGAGTGGTGATTCTAAGCCCCCTTTGCTGGCCTCAAGGCCCAGGAGAGCGTCCTGCCAGGAGCAGGATTCCACGCCGCCCCCCCCTCCCCAGTCTCAGTATGGCAGCAGAGGGGAAGCATCCTAGCAGACAGCAGCGGGGCCATCAGACTTGGGAGCGAGTGGCTGAGGTAGGCAGGGGGAAAGCGGGACCCTCCAAGGGGAGAGACAGAAGCAGGGGTATCTTAGCAGTTAGCAGCCATCTCGCTGGCTCCTCATTGGAAAGCTGGCCGTGCCCAGCAGGTCATTTTCCCTCCGCCTCACCATCCACCAGTCGACCAGGTTCTCGGCAGTCACAGCCCCTGGCTGGACGCTGGACCCTTCCCAGCCCGATGTTGCTGTGGGTCATAGGTGGATTCGGGGTGGGGGGTGAGGACATGATCTTATGTTTGGGAGGAGTGGAGACACAGAGAGAGGGGTGGTGGTGGGGATGGCTGGGCAGGCTACTTGTCCCATTGCTTGGAGCCCTCGTTTCCGACGTTGAACATGGGCACCAGCAGGCCCAGCAGCCACCTCTTCCCGAAGACCTCCTGCAGGTTCTTGCGCCAGGGCCGAGCCCGCACCTCCACCCCCTTTCGCACCTGGTGCCGGGTCTGTCCCCGGAGAATCAGCAGCAGCTGGTGGCAGCAGAAGCCAGCGCAGGCCAGGCCGATGGCAAACCAAAGGTAGAGCATGAGAATGATGAACATTTCAGAACCGAGGACAGCTCCTGCAGGGGGAGGGACACACACCAGACCTGCTTTATACCCAGGCCACGTAGGAACCGCTATCCAGGCAGGCGCTTCCCTCTGGGAAGGAGGGAGATTAAGGAGTAATGAGATGGAAGCTACATTTTGTAGCAACCCAAGCGCTGCAGGCAGGGAGAGGAAAGGGTGGACCCAGTGACCAGAACTTCTCCCCGGGGCTGCTGGCTCCCAGAGCCGGGGAAGTGCTGAGCCCAACGGTGGGAGCCCACAGCTCCCAGGGGTTGTACCCAGGGGTGGCCTGATTCTCCTGAAATGTGGACGTTCCAGGGGAGTCCGACAGGGATATCCATGTGAGCTGGGCTCTGGGCAGCGGCCTCAGCTAGTGCAACTTGTCCCTGTGCAGCTGAAAGTAGGGCCTGGGAGGATTCAGCAAAGGGACCACATGATGGAGGGCAGGGACGACGCATCAGGAATGACCGGTCAGCTTCCAGGGCAGTGCTCAGCACCAGCTCAGAGAATAACGTAGTCATTCATATTAACAAGGGGACGTCGGGCATCGCCACCTGAGCATAAGGCCAAAGCTGTCCCATCAGTCGGAGTTTGCTAGAGCTTTAAGGCTAGAAAACACCCCCACCAGGTCACGAAGTCTCACTCCCTGCCTTGGGAAGGACTTCCCCGGAAACACCCCCCCACCCCCCCAACAAGCATTCTCCACAGCTGGGCTGAAACATCCACCAAGGGGTAGAGTTCTCGCGCGGGGGTCAGAGAGGCCAGATCACACCAAGTTTGCACTTGGAAGTGTGCTCATCTGTTTAAAGGGCATGCCAATATTGATTTCATAGGGTGTGTAAGGCAAGGAGACTGGGGGCTAATCCCCACCCCCATTTTGGGTCACACTCAGAGCAGTGCTCTCTGCTGAGGACCACCTAGCAGGACCAGCAGGGACCCGCAGTTATCACCTGAAACTGACCAGCAGCCCCCTTCTCATCCCTCGGGTGCAGAGCTCTACAGCTCCCAGCTACAACTTGGGCAGCCATGGGAAAGACATTGAGCTTGACCCGCTCACAACCAGACATCGGACCCAGGAGAGGACTAAAAAAAAATCCCTCTTTCCTTCCTTTCCTGCCCATCTGCTCTAGAGATCCCACCTTTCCCACCTCATGTGCTCCTGCAAATCTCCAGGAGGTCCCTCCCTCCCCCAGCTTCCCCCAGCCCATATCTTCCCGGCTGGCTCTGGGCTCCAATTCCCTGACCTTGGAGGGCTGGGTTTTTAAAACCTGTCCAGCGAGCAGCCAGGGAGGGTGCAGGCCCGCTCGGGTTTGCTGGTTCGCAGCAGGTTTCTCCTGGCAACGCTGGAGACAAATAAACTGAGCGGCCCCAGGCTGCTTAAGCAGCTGATGGGTAGAGCTGCCCCTCTATAGATATGGGGGTGGGGTGGAGTGGGCAGCAGCAGGGCAGGGCTCACACTGGTCTGCCCCTGCCTGGGACCCGAATGTCCCTGGTCAGCACAGGCCATCTGGGGTGCCATGTGCAGGACGGAGGAATGTTGACAGGGCGCAGTTGTCCGAGCACGAGTGGGCACGTGAGACATCTGAGCTGTCAGTCGGGGGCCTGCCTGGCAACTCAACCCCAGGGGCTGAGCTGCTCTGCTGGGGCTGTTCCCACAGACGTCTCTCTTGGTACTAAATCAAGACACGAGGAAGACCTCACGCCCTTTTCTGGCCCCGGGCAACAGCTACGAAAAGCCTATTCGGGGACCTGCTTTCTCTCAGAGTGTTTGAAGTTGCCTAGCCTGCTGCCTCGGTGCCTCTGAACTATTTAATAAGCTCTGGGCTTCTTTTGGAAAGCCACAGGCTCTTCCGAAAGGGCCGGAAAGACTCCGCCATCCTCTGGCAGACCGAGGCCCCCCATCTTTAAAGCACCTAGGGGCTGAAAGATGTGCCCCCTCCCTCCCTCATTCCTCAGGAAGCAGCTCCATCAAGCGCCCTGGAGAGGCAGTGTGGTGCAGTGGAACGAGCCCCAGCGTTGGAGAGCGGCAGCCAGGAGTCCCCATCTCAGGTTGGAATCATGGCAGCTGGGTGGCTGGGAAGCAACCTTCCTTGCTGAGCCTTGGCCCTTCATCTTTAAAACGACCCAGCTCCCAGGCTTGCCATGAGGACGGGATGAGATGAGGGCACATAAGTGGGGCCCGCATCAGAGATGTTTATCAAATCCGAGTCCCCCTGCCCTCCCACTGGCCTGCACTTATCCAAGCACCATGCTATAGGTCAGATGGCCTCATCTCCATTTCGGAAAGGGGACGACACAACTAGAACTGGCCACACAAAGCCAGAGGGGAAGACACTTCTAAAACCTCACTTGGCAGGCCTCGGCCTCTTTGGCATCAGCCAAGGGCCAGTGACCAGCAGCCACCTGACTTTCAAAGACCCCTTCCCACATCTGGCTCCCAGGGCCCAAGTTCACAGCCACCCCAGAGGTTGACAGCTGCTCTAAACTCCAGGGCAGTACCTGAGCTGGGGATACTTGATTCCTATCAATCCCTTGTGCCTTCTTATTCCTCCTTGCCCACCCATCCTCCTGGGCAGGTAGAAGAGAGGAGGTATGCGCTCAGCCATTTGGATTGAGAATGGGAGGAGGCGGGTGGGGGAAGCTGGGCAGGCAGGGTATCTGGGTAAGGGGAGGAGAGAGGAGAAATGCTGGCAGGGGAGGCAGATGAGATTAGGAACCTTGGTCTCCTTTTCCTGGTGTTGAAGGATTGTGGGACTCCCTCCTTCTGCTGAGCAGGGGCCTGTCCTTCCCCCATACCCCCGCCCCAGCAGCCACAGCCTGGCTCTGTTCTCTCATCAGTGAGAAGCCCTTCTTCCTTTCTTTCCTGGGCCCCAAACCTGGCACATATGGGCAGGCCTCAGGCCCAGGTGCACCATGAATCAAATCATTGTAAGACCCTTCCTTTGCAACCGCCCGGTTTGTGCAATGAAATTACTTGGATCAGGAAGTTTAACCAGGTTTCCTGGCTCTCCTCAACCCTCCACCTGCCTGTGCTCACACCCCACCCCCTAGCCCACCCGGCCACCCTCCCCCGTCCTGGTTATTTTAGTCCCCGCAGCCTCCTGTGCCAGCACCCAGATACAGAAGGCTCCAGAGCTGTGAGTTCTGGGCCCGGCTCAGCCACCATCCCTCAGGCAGCCCCCAGAGCTGGGGCCTCCCCGGGTTCCTGTGTTCTCGCTGCCACAAGGCGCAACCGCTCTCTGCCTGGGCAGGACTGGGCTGAAGAAAACTGTGCCAGCCCCCACAGACACCAACCCTGCTGGCTTTCCCCAGAGCGCAGAGTTGGGTGTTAGGAATGGCCTGCCAAGACAAATCAAGATAACCCTGGGTCTTAGTGCAGCTGGTTGCCGCCTGTCTGTCTTTGTCCCTGAAGGGTCCTCACGGGAGGGCGCACACTCCTGTGGTATGACAATCTCTGAGCAGGCCAGGCGCTGCCACTCAGTTGAATGAACTGAGGCCAGCATTTGACTTCTGTCCAAGCCTCAGTTTCCTCCTCTGGGAAATGGGGTATCCATTACACACACACAACACACACACACACAACCTATTGTGAGACAAGCCTTTGGTCAGTCAGAGTCAAAGGCCAAGGTGAGAAAGGAGTAGAAGGGAATGAGATAGGGGCAAATTTCAAGGCAAGGACTGCCACCAGGCATCCAGTGGGACCTCACTGAGGCGCCCTGCTGAGCACCTGCATGGGAGCTGACATGCCTGGCACATGTAGGTCTCTGGCCCTCCTGGCGCCCGCTCCCCATGGCCCCCACAGCTCTTTGGGGTGTCGAGAAAGCTACTAACCATGCCTGCTGCTCAGCCTAAGTACCTCCTGCTCTGAGCCATTTGAAGGCTTCAGGAGGGCCAGGGAGGGTCAGGGGGTTGGGGGGGGGTGAACTTCACCTCTAGCTGGGGCTGGCCTGGCACCATGTTGAACCTTGGGGAATGTGGGAACAGGAGTGGGGGCCAGACAAAGGAGCAGTCAGAGCATGGGCAAATGTCAGGTGGAGATACAGAGGGATGGCCAGCACCCAGCTCCAATTGGCCCAAAGGAGGTGGGCTGCCTGCATCTATCTCCAAGGTTCTATGAGCAAATGAACAGGAGAGACTGAGGAGGAGACAGTAGATGGGGAGGGAGTGGGGAAGCGCTCACCAGATCAAATTCAGCCACCCCCAGATCAATGCGTATTTCAGAGGGGCAATGGATCCTCATGCAGTGACTCAAACAGGGGCCCGATGGTGCAGTGCAGTGATTAAGGACGTGGCTGCTAACAGAAAGGTAGGTGATTGGACCCATGGGAGAAAGCTGCGGCAGTCTACTCTGAAGATTCCAGCCTGAGAGGTACCAGAGGCCCGCTTGGAGTCAGAATGGGCTGACAGCAATGGGTTTGGCTGTCCCAGATAGTGCATGGAACACCATTACACTCTATCGTACATTAGTTGATCTGAAATTCCACTTTAAACTGGGTATCTTGTGTTTACCTTGGCTAAAGCAAGCCGGGAGAGGTGGGGGTGAATAGGGCCTACCCCGCCTGCCCAGGTCACTCACCGGAGAAGAACTGGCTGATGGAGGTGGGAAGGAGTGTGAGGAAGGCCAGTGGGTGGGCGAAGGAGATGGACAGGACCGTGGAGATGTGGGCCACGCCGGCCACCATGGAATAGAGGCAGGCCAGCGACGTGTAGAGGCAGAACAGGATGAAGTTGCGCATATTCCTGCTGCCGATGCAGTTGCCCGTGAAGAAACAGTGGTGGTCATGCCTCAGGGTGACCCTGGCGCACACGCGGCAGAAGTGGGTGCTGGGCGGGGGGCATGGTGCCTGCCTGACCGAGATCTCCTGGCAGGCGCCCAGGTCGTCCGGGGAGTTCTGGATGACCAGGACGTAATTGCCCAGGGCGTTGGCAGAGAGGAAGAGGAAGAAGGCCCCGTGGAGCAGGGCGGGCGAGAAGAGCGGGCGGGCCCCCGGGTCCTCGGGCATGCTGGGCAGGAAGAGGAAGAGCTGCAACACCAGGGTCACCAGCGAGATGCACAAGAAGTAGGCAGGGGCCACCACGTTCAGCAGCCGCAGGGCCAGCATCCTCGGTTACATGCCTGCAGGCCGGGGCGAGAGGGAGACTGACCACGGTGTCCTGTCGGGGTGTCCTCGTCCTCACCTGCTCCTCAGGCCACACCCCAGGGTCCAAGCCTCTTGCAAGTCCATGCCCCCAAGCTTCCCACCCAATCACCTTTCCTGCCTCTCTAGGGTGCCAGCAGGCGTGAGACACCCCGCCCCCATGGGCCAGGCCCTGCTAGAGGGTGCCAGCGCCTGGGGGGGGGGGGGCGTGTCTCACATCCTTGGCACCCTGGATCAGGCACCAGGAGGGGGGTGGCCCTTGCTTGCTCCCAGTAGGGGACGGGTGCTGGGGCAGGCCGGAAGCTCCTCTCCCTACTGCCTTGAGACTGGCCCACGACAGCTGGAGATTTCTGGTTGAAAACCCCTTCACAAGAGAAGGCCCAGGATTTGGGGTGGGATAGGGGAAGCAAAAGAAATGTACCCCTTGACTTCCTGGAAGTCCCACGTCATCGCCCCTTCCCCTCCCAGCAGAAGCCTCAAGGTACCTGCTTTGGGGCTATGTGTGCGTGTGGGCCCGTGGTGTGTGTGTCTGTCTGTGTGTGTGTCTGTGTGCCTGTCTGTGTCTGTGTCTGTGTGTCTCCTTGTCCCTGACTACTGTACATGCAATTGTATGTGCCTGGGTTTCTGTCTGTGTCTGTCAGTGTATACACATGCACACGCAGCCGCTGCCAGCCTGGCTTAAAACATCAACAACAACAACAACAACCAATTAAAGCAATCAATGTATTCACACACTCGCTCAGGCTCCTGGTGGGGTGGGAGCGCAGCTGGGGTACCTGTATCAGCAGGTCGTGGTCAGTTCATCTCTCCAACGCCGGCTGCCCTGGCTATTGCTTTGCAAAGAGCGTTTTCATTTGAGACGACGAAATTAACCCCCCCACTCCCTTCGCGCCCGCAGCCCGCCCTCCTGGCTGGAGAAACCCAAACAACCCCCATGGCGACGAGACCCTTTAGTGGCCGACAAGCCCTGGGCGCATAAGTGGATGCTAAACACGATTTTCCGTAGAGGGAGCCCCCGCCTCAAAGGGCAACCCCAGCCGCACCCACACCCACCTAGTCCCCCCGCGGCCCCAGTTCCTGTCCACCTTGGGCAGCCCCCCGGGATAGCGGGTTCTGGGTGCCCTGGAGAACTTTTCCGGGGGCTAAGGAGTCGGCCATCCAGAGGCGCAAGAGAAAGTTGCGGTTGAGTCCAGGGTGGGCCGATGCCACAGGGCCTCCGTCCAGGCTGCCCTATCCGGACTGGGCGGCTGGTCACCTTGGAGTCCCCTCTGCAGGTGCCAATGCCAGGGGGACCTGCGGCCTCCTGGCGGAGCGCGGGCTCGGCTCTGCAGCAGGGGCGCAGCACCGAGCACGCCCGGAGGTGGCTGCTGGAAGCTTCGCACCACGCTCCCCTGCGCCCCGGGCCGCCGCGGCACTGCACTGCCCACCCAGAGAGCCCTTCGCCCCGGGCTCCAGAGAAGCAAGTGTCTTCCCCGCGCTGGTCGCCAGGGGGGCGCAGGAGCTGCCTCCAGACGCGCCGTGGCGCCGGGGAGGCGAAGGACCGGGGCCAGGCGAGTGAGGGGCGCTTGGCGGGCGGGCGGCCGCAGCCCGGGCCCTGCCCTGGGGAGCGGACGGCCGAGGCCGCCGGACGCCCGCGGCCCGGGCACGCGGGGAGCTGTCCGTTCAGCACCGGCGGCGCCGCGCCCGCGGCGGAGAGCGGCACAACGGGAGCCCCAGCGAGACCGGCAGCGCCGGCAGTCGCCGGCGGCTCGGCCACCGCCTCCCGGTCGCCTGGGCAGCCGGCCCGGTGGCCGCCGCCGGCCCGCCGCAGAGGACCGGGAGCGGGACTCACCGCGCTCGGCCGCTAGCAAGAGGACCCCTGGGTGCCGGCACTCGCTTCCTGCAGGCGGCAAAGTTGCGGGCTCGGCCCGGCGGGCTCGCTGCCTCCTCGCGCTGCGCTTCGGGGACTGGGCAGGTAGCGGGAGTGTGGGGAGGAGGGAGCGGGCAGCTGCCGTCCTCCCACTCGGGCGCCAGCGATCGGGGGCCAGCAGGCGGCGGGGATGGCAGCTGGGCACCCCCAGCCCCGCCACCCCTCCCTTCCCTCTTGGGGGCGGTGCTCTGGCTACCCCTCTCATCCCAGCCACCCCCACCTCACCCCACCCCCAGGTCTCTTTCTCTGGAGCGGGCTGGGCCACCCTGCCTGACTTCATCCTCCCAGTTCCCACTGGGGATTCAGCGCTGAGGCCCATGCCTTAGCCGTCATCCACTGACCCTTCCCTCCACTCCACGGCTGCTCTCAGCTCTGCGAGGAGTGGGGTGGGGAGACCGACCTGGGGGTGGGCGTGCAGCTCGCTAGAAGCGACACCCCTAACGACCCCGGTCACTTCCTAGGAGGACTGTGCCCAGTGGGGTTGAGACCCAAACCCTGGTGTCCATGTGGCTGGGCTTGAGTGGCCACCATCCACCATGGGGTGACCCTAGACGCCACTTCCTCTGCGAAGTGTTGAGGTGAAGATTAAGTGACCACGGGTGGAACATGCACACCCAAACACAGACACTCGTCCTAACCACTGACGCCCGATCAGGCGCTTACTGTGTGCACCAGGCACTGTGCTCTGTCTCAGGTAGCGGTTTTGTTCAGCCTCTCATGGTCTGGGAAGCAGGAGGGTTCCCATTTTACAGATGGGAAGTTGAAGCTCAGAGAGGCTAAGGCAGGTGCCCCAGGTCACCCAGCCCGTAGGTGGTAGACACTGAACTTGAACTCGGTTCTGGCACCAGTGCTCCTATGCATGGTTCCTACCCAGCCCAGTGTCACCCTGGGGCCCAGAGGGAGCTCCGCTTGGGGAGAGGGAAGACAGCCATCCATGTATGCAGACACAGACCAAGAGCGTCTGCCTAGAACTTCACCCTCGCCTCCCTTGTTCTTCCCCAATCCATCGTTTGGAGGTGGGTTCTGCCACAAAGCCAGGGACAGCAATGTGGAGTGGGACCCAGATGGACTGCAGAAACAGTGGCATCATTGCCGTCCTTAGTTTCCTGGGCTGTCGTAGGAAACTCACCTTCTCCCCAGGAAGGTAAACACAAGAGAGACATGATTGCTTCTTGCTTTCAACCAGCTGATTAAAGCAGGAGCAATCCCTGGAAGGAGGGCCGTATGTTTATCAGCCTCTATCTGGGAATCAACAGACACCGGTTCCTCTGCAGGAGACTGGATGCATCCCAACAAGAAGGGGGCTAGGAAGTCTTCTACTCTCCTGAAAGCAGACTCACAGATAAGCCAGCCCGACAGGGCTTCCCCTCCTGTAGCGCTGAGCTCTGGTGGCCCCAGGGAAGGACAAGTGGCCTTTTCCCCTTCAGAGAGGCTTTGTGTCCAGATCCCAGGCTTGGGGAGGGAGTGAGCCTGGAGCACCTTGGTTTGGGCTATATTGATGAAAGATCTCCATTCCCTAAATACCTTGAGAGTGGGGCAGTCTTTCTAATTTTATTTTGCATATGGGTGTGTGGTGGGAAGGTGTGTGTCTGGATTCGTGTGTGCAAGGGGAGGAGAGGCGAGAGAGAATGAGAAGCTGAGAGAATGTGGGAAGATGGCAGTGGGGGAAGGGAGGACGCTGCCAGGAAGGAAAGAGAAGGAGGTATGGCGTGGAGACCAGGACAGAAGGGCCCACAAAGGTGTATTCAGAAATCCCCTTTGACCAGAGGAAAGGGCACAGAAACCTTGCCTGGAGAGGTAGTGGTTCTCGCTCGCCTCTGTAAGGGGGTCGAGGTGAAGGAAGTAACAGCCAAAGGCCGTTTGGCTTGGTTTTCTAAAATCGGCGCTGACTCCTGACACAATCAATGGGGAGGCCCGTTTTGAAAGACCACTTTCAATCCTGTCCTAGCCCCCACCTCTGAAGGGAGCAGGCACAAAACTCATACTTTCTGGACACGTTGCAACTGTCTGACCTTCAGCAAGCCATCTGGCTGCTCCCCTCTCTGTATCCTCGTCCATAAAATAAGATTAATAGGTGCAATACTGTGACTTTGGGGCAACGAGGATTAAATGGGACGATGTCATTGAAGTGGCTTGGTCCGGGCAGGAGACTGGACAGTGTTAGCGAGTCTCCCCTTTTTTCTCTCTCCTGAACCTTTATTCACAGATTTCCAACTGGAATAAGAGCTCCTGGGGTCTTCTTCATGATACCTAGCAGGAGGCCTTGTCAGCATAGATGTCGAGTGATATCTATCAGTTGATCATACGTGGATGATGTTGGCTTTCTGAGAGGACTAGCTAGTCTGAAGGCCTTGGGGAGACCTGGTGAAGATACATTTGCTATTGATCTTGCAGCCTGCTGCCTGCCCTAAGTATAATCTCATCCCCCACAAACAGTATCAGAAAAATAACTATAAACACACACACACACACACACACACACACACACACACACACCTTGTCATAGATGCTTACAGTTAAGCGGAACCTGCAGACAGTCCCTAGGGACAGGCTCAGGTTAAATGATAAACCGCCTCTGAGTGCCACGAGCACTTTCCCGGAGAGCCCTGCTGTACGTCTGGCTGCCTAGGGTGTCATTTGAGTCAAGAAAATTCCCTTCGAAGTGGCAATCATTCGAGTTTGCTTCCAACGGCTCTGTACAAAGAGCGACCTTCTGTGAAACAAGCAACTTCTTCCTTGGGTGGGGAGACCACCTACATCCACCAGTCTGATCCTCACACTCCCCAGGGTTTGGGCGGGAGAATGTGACAAGGTGCAAGGCGCCACACGGGAGGAGTTTCCTTCTCATGCTCCTATTGCAGATGGATCAAGGGCGAGGCCAGCAGTGGCCTGGAGTTTAACTGGGGCCCGGAAAGGAAGATGATGAAAGCCGTGCTCGGTCAGAAGTCTCCCCTGTCCGTAGCAGCAGCAAAGTGCTCCCTGAGCCTCAGACGACTCAGTAAGATGCGGTCCCGCCTGCCCAGAAAACATGCAAGCGGAATGTTCGTTCCAGCCCACTGGAAATTTGAATGATCATGAATTTCTTTTTGGAGCTAGTAATTTACGTTGCCAACGATGTCTTCATTTTAAACAGCAACAAAAACATTACTTTGGTGTAGTAAAGCGTTTTGTATGTTACAAAGTACACCCACAAAATGATAATTTCCTTCTGCAAGTCTCTCTTGGTGGCCCTGTAAGCTGGCTGGGGCAAGAATGATTAAATCCATTTTTCTTACGAGGATACTGAGGTTTAGAGCTTTGTTGCATGTTAATCAGCAAGTCTTGCCCACGTTGAATAGAAAATGCAATTTCATATGCAAAAATCTCACCGATCCTTAACTCTTCAGGAGTATGCCAGGTGCACAAAGGAAGCACGCTAGTACTTCCTTTACTCACGCAGGGGAAGACCTGCCAGAGGACCCTGTTTAGAAATGGCTGCCCGCTGCACTCTGAACGCCCTCTCCTCTGCCCCGTTTGCCTTTGACCTGGCATAGTCCATGCTTACTGTCTGCCTTGTCCCTCGAGAATGCTAGCTCCACAAGAGCAGGATTTGGACTGTTTTGTTCCCTATAGGCCCCTTTTCCAAAAGGAGGCCTGGTGGTGCAGCCGTCGCATTGGGCCGCTAAGTGCAAGGTCGGCAGTTCGAAACCACCAGCTGCGCTGTGGGAGAAAGACGAGGCTTTCTGCTTCTGTACAGAGTTACTGTCTGTAAGGAGTTGTAGGCTGTCTACTCTGTCCTATAGAGTCGCTATGCATTGGAATCAACTCCACGCAGTGCGCTTGTTTATTTCTTTATTAACCCTTCCTTGAAGCATGCTGTCCTCTTCACTACATCAACTCTAAGGGTTCAAATCCTGTTCCTTTGCAGTGCCCTGTGAGTTTGGGAACTTCAGAGAGAACTCTGAAGGGGCCAAGGTCAGGGCTGGCGGGCAATTAAAAAACTCAACCACATTCACTGCCATTGAGTCGATGCTGACTTAACAGTGACCCCTGATGGGGTTCCGAGACTGTAACTTTATGGGAGTAGAAAGCCCAGTCTTTCTCCCGCAGAGCTGCTGGTGGTTTTGAACAGCCGACCATGCGGATTGCAGCCCAACTCGGAACCACTACAGCACCAGGGCTCCTTTGGAGGGTGGATGGGGTCAGGTTTTTCAATGACCTTCTCCTAGGACAGCCCCTGCTCCCCTGGAAGAATGGGGAGGTACAGTGTCATGATGGCAAACACAAACCCCTCGGTGCAAAGTCCCGGGGCTTGTTCTGTCCAGTGCACTTTTCTGTTGTCTTAACGAGCCCCTGGCCATCCTGTACTCTTCAGGAAGGTATGTCACGATCATCCCTGGGGGTCAACAAAGCGAAACAATTGCCATCACCTCTGAGCTGACCTCTCTGCCTTGAATCTCACTGGCCCCGCAGATCCCTTCATAAACTGTAGTATTAAATAAAAAATTGGCGCTGGGGGGTGTGGGGTGCCAGCCCCCACCCGTTGATACTACTATTAGTACTACTCGGATTCAGTAATACTACTTCTGGGTTCAGTAATGCACAATTGTACGGTTGAGATATATAAGCATTATATTAAAGTCATCAAGAGCATGAGAGATATTACAATAATACAGTCAGACACATTACATGATACCATAGCTCACCTCAGCCCAGCTTGGTGGTCCACATGGAGAGAGGGGGAAGGGAAGGAGGGCAAGGGAACAAGGGAGAGGGGAGTGACCAGGGAGTGAGCAGCAAGGAGCTCAGAGTCAGAGAGAGCTCTATTGCTGACTCACACCTATATACCTTTTGGGGGCAAGCCAGCCCACTAATTACAGGTAGAGACATACATCACAGGGAGGAGCTGCACTATAGGTTACACAGCAATGAGGGGGTGGTCTAGGGGGTGGTCTCTGGGTCTCCATAGGAACCATTATCAGTAGGGTGCAAACTCTGCCTACAGGAGCCTGTCCATTGTCCCCAGAGGCAGGGAGCAGGCCCACCCCTGTGAAGGGATGAGACAGCAGTCTGGCAACTGATTGCCCTCAGTAGGGGAATGCCTGCGCATCTGACCTCCCCCCACAAGAAACCACTGTTTGGATGGGA